GACACCACTTCCTGTAACTCTCAAAGCTACCTCGCCCCTGAAAGATCGCTCTGTTCACGATACTCTAGATCTAGTGATGAGTAAGTAGTATTATAGCCACTTGCCTTTATTTGAAGTAGTTTGAACAATGCACGACAAAGTAACAAAAGGTGAATCGATCACTCCAACATGGAAACATTTTCGAAAGCAACAGATGGGGCATTAACAAAAGTAAAGACTATCAATAATTATTGATGGTAGATCATAAACATGATTATCACCAATATTGATGAACTTTCAAGTCAATAGTCAGACCCTCGGTCCAATATATTGCAAAGGGCGTGATCGAAATATTACCAATTGTAACCATGCAGAACTATGGCGGTCCATACTCTCCGGACTGTGTGGTCCAGACTCGATTGTTTACAGGATGACGTCGAAGTGGCAGAGGGATATAAGAATGGGTGCTGGCTGTCCGTCCTTCCGTCACGTTTCGTTTCCGGGGCACAACTCATCAAACCATGGGAGATATTTTGACCACACTTGGCCCATAGATAGGTCTAGTGGTGAACTGGTGCCTCATGATAGTTTGACAAATTTATTTTTCGAGTTTCAATGGCAACGACTTTGACCTAGACTGCAAATGGCGGTAGTGCACGTTTCCGGAGCAGACCTTGAAAACCGTACACTATTTCTTGCCTTGCACACAACCGGACATGTCATATTAGCGGGGGATAGGAGTATTCCATGCTTGTTTTCGGCAGATAATACAGACTGGTTATTCCCTGGCGTTAACGTTTCACATTAATTTGAAATGTGACCTATAACTTATCAATGAGTACAAAATCGTCATACGTATAGAAATCCAAAAGCAGGGGGCCCGTCACTCAGCTTGTTGCTACGAAATTAAGAACCGTTATATATTCTGTGACATCGGAAATAACATTCAGCAAATATTACACCGCCTGACACGATAGTCTTCAAGTAGCAATGTTGAACATGCTTGTGTGAGTGGAAAACACGATACACTCCAGAATCTTTTGGATGAAATGAATATATTTTTTAACGTTATATACCAAATGTTGGCTTTTAACAGGGGTGTCTTTGACACGCGTTAGGAACAATAATGGAAATAAGTCACTTTACTAAATGACTGACAACTTTCTTTAATTTCCAATTATCACTGACATAATTGTTGGTCTATAATACACATGGCCAGGATGCAAGAGATAGCGATGCGGCGCTAGAAAGAAATCTAATTGATGCTGTCAGCTATAAAGACTCAAGACACGCTGTTCTACCTAATTCTAATTGCGAAGCAAAGACTTCAGAGGGATTGATGTGGCGAACAAAAAAAAGCAGGTGTTGTCGCGTAGTAATTCACTCGCTGCGACTAACTCGTGATATTGTGGCGATAACCTTAACTGGGGACCTCTACCGACAAGACATTCTAATGGTGCGAATCTCAAGCCAGCAGTGGGTCGCTACTCTATACTTTACATAGTACGAACTGTTTGATTGGCATTTTAAGAAGTTGGTAAGTGACAGTTAAGACAAGACAATTTCTTTATTCCAATATCATGCGACCTTCACTCTACGGGATCGGGTGGTCAGGTTCACTGTATTGGTTGATGCATGTCATCGTATCCCAATTGCGTGGATCGATGCTCATGATGTCAATCATTGGATTGTCTGATCGAGACTCGATTATTTACAGACCGCCGTCATATAGCTGGAATATTGCTGAGTGTGGCGTTAAACAACAAACAAACATACACAATTGCTTGCCAACGATATAAGGATGTACACCGAAACGTTGCATCATAATAGAATAAAGAAGTTGTCATCCATAAAATATCTTTCTTTACTGTTTACACAGTACGATCCCATGGGGAGTCGGGTTGGCAGAGGTCCCCAGCTACCTGTGCTGGTCGTAAGAGGGGATGTTCAGGCTCGGTGACCTTTTTCAGAGCGTGTCGTCGTACCCAGAAGGCATGGCTCGAAGACCTGATATGTCAAACGAAAAACACCAAACACGTCCGATTCTATTGCATTGAGTGTATCCTTTGTGGATTAAGAGAGAATTGATGTTGGAGAGACCAAACAGAAATTATTGACACGAGTTTTCTAGCAACCAAGGGCATCAACTGAAAATATGTTTCCAAATGGGTCTACCAACATATTAATTCTGAAAATCACTCCACCCTTTACATGAAGGGAAGAAATATACCATACATCTAATAGCCCTAAATGCAGTTGACCATGCAGACTATCCTTAGAAAATCATTGGATTAGACTGTATAGTCTATAATGTACAACATTGCCATATGGATGTGATAACAAAATAAATAAAGTACACGTTGGCAGGTTTCCTAACCAACGAACTGCCGATGCCAATGTATTGAGTCTGTTTCCCGCATCCCAAAGATGTCGACGCAGGCATGGACACAAGAAAGGACGATGGCCAAATGATACCATTGGTTTGGAAGAGTGGTTACCTCTCCTTCATTTGTCGGTTTGATGTTTAACGCCGCACTCAGCAATATTCCAGCTATTTGACGGCGGTCTGTAAATAATCGAGTCTGGACAAGACAATCCAGTGATTAGTATCATGAGCATCGATCCACGCAGTTGGGATCGATGACATGTATCAACCAAGTCAGCGAGCCTGACCACCCGATCCCGTTAGTCGCCTTTTACGACAAGCATAGTCACGTTTTACGGCAAGCATGGGTTGCTGAAGACCTATTCTACCCCGGAATCTTCACGGGTTTGCCTCTCCTTCAGGACCCATTGGGACTGCAGCCGGTAAGAACAAGAGTTTATTCTGTATCATTGAAAGAAACCAATGCTGGTGGACGGATCTACAAATAGTAAGAGCCCATTGTCGAGTAGACAGTATACTTCTTGATATTGCTTTGAAAGGTTTGGCCAAACCAGAAACAGACTCCAAGAAAACAAAACTTTGAAAACAAAATTTGCGAACAAGGGAATTGATGCTCTTAACTTTAAGTAACATTCTAATACAAAACTCATTTTTTCCTAAATGTCCTAAAATATTAAAAAATATGAAGCCCGCTTTGATCAGTATTCCAGTTATACCGTGGCGTGTCAGCTTGGTGTGGGGGGAAAGCCCGAAGTGATGCAGGTCCCAGACGTTTACCACTTTGATGAAACCATTGAGCACGTGCATGGTTCTGACAAGCCTAGAGCTATAATCGGGGCGAACCCGGATTCGAACCCACGATCATAGGTTTCTGGCGTGCCCAAGGGGCGCAACTCTGCACAGCGACTTGCAGTGCCGTAGACGACTGGACAACCCGTGCTCCCTCAGATTTCAGGAACCACCATCAGTTTCAGTTTCCTACACGAACACCATTTCATCCAAGTTGTGGATTTGGCCGCTCATCACGTAAATTCCACTACTTGTGGCTACCAAGACACATCATGCTGGTAACAACCTGTTGGTCATATATCCACAGGTGCTTCTCTATTGTTGACCATAACAACCTTCGTCATGATCAGTTATTCAGATATGGACACAAGTATCGTTAGCAGCCTCCTACCACTTCGGATAACTTTGTCAAGGCCTCAGTAAAGCTTTCAAAACGTTTTGTGGAGGACATGTGGACGACAATTCCAAATTAGACGCAACAGTGACAAAAATTATGTCTGATGCAATACCCTATCTGACTTGTACGATACGTCCCGGTGTTGTTTTTTCCGGAGGAACAATTGACTTGCCTTCATATGTGTTTGTAACGTGTGCCACCGATGGGGCAGGATACGGTCACATGATACGCATGGTATCATGACTATTTGATAGTGATTCATAGAGATTTGTTTATCATTATGGAAAGTTTGTTTATTTATAATACCAATCACTAGGTTGTCTGGTCCAGGCTCGATCATTTACTCGCCACCGTAATTTCGCTTGAATATTGCTTAGTGCGGTTTAAAACAACAAACAAACAACATGGTAAGATTGTACATGACTTTACAGGTCTACTTTACAGTTATGACTTTTCAAAAGGACTTTACTTTCAGCCATGGTATGGATTTACAATCGAGTACCTTTGCCGCGTATTATGATGATGCGGCGTGGTATTTCTCTCTGACATAGTTACTTTGCAACATGATAGTTTTCTGCATGTTAATACTTTACAAATGTTTTTTTTTCTTTTCGACATGGTAAGGGTTTTCAGCAGGTACACAATAGTATGACTTCAACGTAGACCTAGTTTGTAGCAGGGTATGATTTTACAGCACTTCCACATCACGATTGTAGTTTTATTGATTTCTCAAGCAATCATTTATTCGAAAATATATAGCAATGTACATTTGCCAATTATATTACAATTCATACATGTACATATTCAATCTACAGTCTTTGAGTGTCCGACATGTTTGATATATCATTCTATGTAGTGTTAAGGTTTTCGAGAAAAAAAATCACGCTGCAACGTTTGCTAAATGTGCAAAATAAATAATCCCCACCAAGGGATCCAGGTCGTTTTTGCATCGATGTTCAATTTCAAAATTGATTTTATTAACGTATTCGCGTTGTAAAATGAAATAAGATACATTTGGATGTTTTCAGGTTCACAATCCTTAGAAGTGTCACTCAAGGCATCAGGGCACGTTATCGGGTGGTGGTAAAAAGTTTGCACATGGGAGCTGCGTCGGAAGAAGCATTATACGCATAAGAAATCCCAACTCATTAACAGGGTGGGTGAAAAGGAGGTTTTGATGGAGATCACTTGCTTGTCAGCCGACGGGGCATGACGGAAATGCTATGTCAAGGGTCTGTGTCCAGTCTCATTGATTTTCATGCCTAGTACTGAAAGGCGTTTTACAAATCGATGGAGTTTTGAGACTTCCAAAATGCCATCACGGCTTGCCCCTTTAAATAGCCCTTTATACACTGAGCGGAAGGGATTACCACCAAACTCTTGAAAGAATGTTGTCCTATCGGAAACTATTACACTTTACGTTAGACACTTATTAACCAGGTCATCTGGTCAGAGGGTTGGTTTATCTGGACAGCACCAAAGGCGTATATATAGATCTATGGATGTGCGCATATCTTCTAGTAACGCGTGGCGCTAGTCAGCCGTTCTCTTTCAAATGACAAACGGCACTGCCGTTTCCACATAGTCAGTGTATCAGGCTATCTGTCGTATAGTTGATGCCGTCGGCAGGCTTGACTTTCAACACATTGCGTGAAGGCTGCCGTTCCCATCTGTCGGTAATGGGCTCTGATGGTCGTGCGTGGTTACCTAATGGCAACAACGGTGGAAAACATGGGATTATCGATGGCTATTAAGTAAGTGGTAGCTCCCAAGCTTCTTAAAATGACGGCAAATTTACAATCTAATAAGGAAGGGGGTAGTCATCGTCCTCGCAGTGGTCAACGCAGGTTGGGGCAGTCCAGATTTGAGGGTACACGCAATGCTCAGTTGTTGGCTAGCGACACCGAGTCGCCCCCTCTCAGTCCTGCACGTGCGGAGAGACGCCCTCTCCGTGTGGAATTCGCTCTTATGGAGGATGATGAAAAGTCAAGCGGCGGTGAGGACCGAGAATTGACAAGTTTCAGAAATGGAGCACACAGGAGATTCATCCAACCTAGACTGTCTCTTCTTGGGAGACCTCTGAATTATCGCCAACATAGACGAGATGTTAGATACCGCAGATTACAGGCAAGGATATACAATTTCTTGGAGAGGCCGAAAGAGTGGACAGCATGGGTGTATCACTTTTCAGTGTAAGTGCTTTTCATTTACTTTTTAATCTATTTTCTAATGCGTGACTTCAATGTGTTTTTATTCCAGGCGTTTACAGAGTACGTGATACTGTCATGACATGTCAATCTAATTCTTAATACGGACTGTGACATTGCATAATAGGTTTATATTATGAGTCGTAGATGGGAAATAACGTCTCATATGGTCTTCTTTGAAGGCGTTTATTCCAACCGGAATTCGTATTGAAGGCAATCCTTCAATGACAAAATGACAAATTGAAAATTGAAGACATAGAACCTCAGAAGTAATAGATTGGTAACATTGATGACATGTGTCAACTAAAACTGCTCAGGTCTAAAGATTTTAAATGCCTCCGTTTATCAAAGTATACTCAGTGAACGATGTAAGCCAAGTACAGTATGACTATTTATAATGGAGAATGTTATCTGGACCTGGTAATTGAAATTTATATCAGTTCAAAAGTAATTTAGATTGAAACATTACACTGCCCTTTAGAATGTCACGAGAGCATTCTAAGGCTGTGAAAATATCTAATATGTTAACTCTTGATACCACTAAAGATCAAATGCTTATTCCTGTTCATATTTCTGTGGTCTTAGAGAATGAATTGGTAACATGAAGATTATATTCTTCAGTCGCATTTGACCTAGTAATTATTGTTGATGATAGGTTTGTGATATCATTAGTTTCAAACAGCAGTTGTTCAATGAGAATGTTTATGAAGCCAAGGAAGAACAAAGATTTTACTTGAGAATCAACAGGTGTTCAACTCCACTGATCGTACAGGTTCTAGTGGATACCAATCATCAATATTGATGTTTAGTCTTGATAGGCATTCTGATATTGGTAGAAGACATGACACTTTTTATGGATCACTTTTTTTTTTGCCATTTCATTTCATTGCTTCTTTAATTTTAGGAATATACTGGAAATTCCTGCTTATCCATAAAAAATGTATGTGTTCAAATACTGAGGTAATTAATATTATTCCTTTTTTATCTGTATATTTGGTAAAAAAAGGGAGACAGTATTTGTAATCATTTCCAATTTGGATTTATATTGAGTAATCACATGAAACTAAGTGTTTAGTTATTTTCCTGTTAGTTGTACATGGAGATAGCTATGGCTAACAAGAATCTGAAATGGGTTCTCTCTTCATATTGCTATCTTCCAAATAATTCTGTCAAGCAACATCCATTTTTGCTATGCATAGCTTTGATGGATAATCTATTGCTTTGACCTACTACTATGTGGAGTAATACAGCTGTGCATATTGATAACCTGACTCATGAATCGTAGATATAGGAATATCTGGTAAATATATCATGGTGATAGTACTGGTGCATTTGATAATGTTATGGTAATGTATAGTCAAGATATCTTGCACTCATCTGATATATGGGACAAAGATGACATTCATAGAATCGTATATCATTTGAGATTTTGTTGTAATATTAGACAATTTATCATCCTTGTGTACATAAGCCATCAGACATGTTAAATATGTATTTCTGTGATCAATTGCGTAGCTGAAGGTTAATTATTAAAAAATGCGTATTGTGAAATTGTACGAAATTCAGTCATACATATATAAGAAAGATCAAGGAATTTAATCATGTTCCCAGTTCATTCATGATTCAAGTGTCAGATATATCGTCTCTGTTCTTTTCATACGAGATATTTGGTTCTTTTTTCTTAAACTTCATTGGATCCAGGGCGGTCGGGTAGCCTAGTGGTTAAAGCGTTTGCTCGTCACGCTGAAGACCCGGGTTTGATTCCCGACATGGGTCCAATGTGTGATGCCCATTTCTGGTGTCCCCCGCCGTGATATTGCTGGAATATTGCTAAAAGCGGCGTAAAACCATACTCACTCACTCACTTCATTGGATCCAACTTCTTGAGGCTGGGTAGATGTGTGCAAATGATGTCCTGTCTGATGCAAAATGCACAGAACTAAACTAATTATAATACATTCAAACCACTGTTTATGATACATGGTTTTCAGGTGAACAATTGACTTGCCTTTGCATGTGTTTATGACAGGTGCCACTGTTTGGGCAGGACATGCTCACCTTTTTTGTGTACACCTGGTTTTTCATAGTGATTCATAAACACATAGAATAGGAATTGTGCGTCACATCCAGCAGTGACTTCTCATGATTATGAAAAGGGTTTTGTCATTTATATTCCCAAACAGATTAAAAGGTAGACCATCTAGGCCAATATGCTGGGATTTTGAGTCACGATAGACAAACTTAAGTGTGTTATGTTATGTTAAATTTGTGTTCAATTACAAAGTGATTATAAAGTGAAAATCAGAATGTAAATTGAAATTTAATGTTGATAATAAGGTTACAATAAACATTGAAACATGAATACAAATAAAACAAGGTTTGATCCCAGTATCTTTGAATTTGTTTTGATTTTTTATCGACACATTCTAATTTAGAGTATGACATTGAAAAAAATTATTAAAAAATAGCTTTAACTTAAAAGAGATATTTTTTTCCTTCTTTTCTTTAAAGAATTCACTCTTCTATTTGGGTATCTAAATGTACATATTTAAAAAAAATGATACATTATTTTAGAAAGGATGATTTTTTCAATCACAAATTTGAAATTCAGTTATGATGTTTCTGTGAACATGCAGCGTTTTTGTAATGATAAACATGAGGACTCCCAACTGCACATGCAACAAGTCTTTAAAGTATTGCCATCCTTGCAGTTCATTATTCTTATTCAGAGTTAAAGGTATATAGATATTTTCAATTAGTCACTGTCAGATACCGTTTTTATTACAAGTGCATATCCAACAAGAAAGCGAGTTATTTAAATTGAGAAGTATATCAGTTGTAGTAAAAACAGGGGTTACGGGAGTTAACTGACTGTAAAAGTAAAGTTTCCAACATTTCCAAACAACACTATAATTTCCAGGGTCGTTCATAGTGCCGCCAGTTGCTATTACAAGTTATGTCCCTCCTATTGACCAATAAGATTCCTTCCTCATATCATTTGAATTTGCTTTATACAAAATGGCGGCACCCAGTCAAGACGATCTGATCGATCATCGAGGTCTATAAAAATAATAAAACGGGTCTTAAAGTGCATAAAATTACTTGAGCACCTTGATTAAAAATATCTAAAAGATTTGCAAAATATCTGTCAACACCACATGCTTTGCAAATCCTGCAGTCAACCAAAATCTCCACATTGAAATCCATGTTGTTTACTGACCAAATGTCTAGTTGGTTAAGCGATTTTGATTGGATTATGCATCGACACATTAGTCCTGCCAAAATGTAACTCCGGAATTCCAACAAGTTTTGAGATAAATGCACATCTTGTCAATGCATCTCTGCAGTTTTGTAAAATTAAATAGTGTCAATTGGGAATAGATTATCCATGATGGAGCCCAGTAGACATTATGTACAGTTCAAATGTGCTACCAACGCCATCATTCAAAGAATCAGCTAATGCCAAGAAAAGGCCCTGTCCTTTGGATGTTATTACATGAACTGTATGTTAAAACAACTGTATGTTAATTAAACAGGGAAATCTCCAATGGGTGAGTGATGAAAACAATTAACAGCATTGATGGCCAATATGTTCATCCATACAGTTCAATTAAGTCTGGCATACATGTAGTTGTAGGCTTGTCACCTAAAGCTGATAATTGGTTGGTATTCAAGCCCCTGTGTGATGCAAGACTTGGTTACATGTGTATGGGAAACACCTATGGCTGTGTCAGTGACTCTGCATCCGGACCATACGAGCATAATTGCATCCCATTATGACATAGTGTGAGGTCACAACATATATGTGTTTAAGAAAACCTGATTCTTTCATATTATTATAGTTAGCCTGCCATGACATCGATATAAGAAGCACCCATGAAGATCCGGGGTAGAATAGGTCTCCAGCAACCCATGCTTGCCGTAAAAATGACTATGCTTGTCGTAAGGGGCTACTAACGGGATCGGGCAGTCATGCTTGCTGACTTGGTTGATGCATGTCATTTTATCCTAATTGCATGGATCGATGCTCATGATGTCAATCACTGGATTGTCTAGTCCAGTCTTGATTATTTACAGACTGCTGCCATAGAGTGGGCATATTGATAAGTGCGGCGTTAAACAGCAAACATTTAAACAAACAAAGAAACTGTGGTAAGAAGAAGCAGTTTGTGTTGATAACAATTTGTTTATTTTACTGTTTTGATGATTCATTGCTGATATTAGTTCATTTATCAAGTATGTACTTGTTGTTTGTCTGATCTTTTTTATGAGGAATAAACAAACATGTTGATATCTCAACATTGCATTTCCAGTATGTTTACAGCCACTAAGTACGAAGGGGTAAATAAAAAATAGTTCCTGCTTCTTTCTGTTTGAAAATAACTTCCAGCCACAACATCACTGTAGGAAATTGCAGCCCCCCAAAACAATGAGTAGATTATGTATTGCTGCACGTCAGACCTACCACAGTCTACATCAATAGTCTTGGAGCCAGAATAATGAGAAGACGAAAATAAATAAATATAAATGTCCTTGTTATCAATAATACCCCTGGGTCATTGTCTGTGAAGTATGAATGTGTATAGTTATATTCCTCTGACACAGAACAACATGGTTCTGTATGGGCCTCCCAGCAGAACACTTCAAAGCATGTGATGATTAGAACATCCCGACATTGGCAGATAACAGGTGGTTAACACAGTTTAACATCAGATAAATACTGACTTGCTTGTAGTTAGGTCAGATGAATACAGGTGTCCATGGTTGGAAGGGTGAGATGGAAGTATTTAAATCAAGGTGTCCCTTCCAGCAGGAGTGGAGATGAGTTGAAAGAGTTTAAAATTGGCTTCAAAGGAGTACAAATGTGATTAAAGTGACACATCATCCTTCTGAAACAGTTACAGGCTCGAAGGAAAATGTATTTATGTTCTAGATGTGATCTAGTCCATTGCATCTTCCCGAGGCAAGGGAGTTAACTGACTACA